AACACAGCAAACAACCGTGTTTCATGTTACGTTGTGATCAAAATTTGTCAAAATTATATTTTCACGACTATATTTACTTAAAGAAATAAAATTAATTACATAATAAGAAGCACTTTACGTGTGCGAACAAAATTGTAGTACTGTGTTGGATACAATTTTTATAATTGATCAGGTTTTTTCCTCTAGAAGCATATTTAATTCAGAAAAAAAGTAGGCACCCTCTATTAATGCACTTTATTAAATTCGATGCCCCGACAGCATCGTTATTCGTGTCGTCATACCATGTGACCAATGCTTTCACTTGTATAACTACTAAAACCAAGCTGTTGGATACTGATACTTGCAAAAAAGTATTAACGAAAACCTTAGTACAAAAATCGCGGCTGCATACGATTAAACAAGTAATCTAATCTAAATAAAATCCATGTGTGTCACGTCACGCTTGATTTCTCGAAGTAGGAGGAATCATAAAAATACATGTAAAAAGCCAAAATACATGTATCCAGATAGAATAGTTCGATTACTGTCTGCCCATTACGATTATAGTGACGGGGGTGAAAGGGGCCCGTGAAACTTTATAAGTGTAGTGAGTGTTGGTTTTTGTTTGCTTGTAATTATGCACAAAGCTACACAATGGGCTATCTGTGCTCTGCCCACCACGGGTATCGAAATCCGGTTTCTAGCGTTGTAAGCCTACAGACATACCGCCGTGCCACTGGGGGCGTGAGCGTTGGTATAATTAGCCTAAAGTAAAGACGTAGTGTGGGATCATCTATCCTAGCGCCAAGTGCAAAAATTTATTATGAAAGTAAAAATATCGATTCAATTTTAAACTTAAATCAGTTCTGAATGAAGCTATTTTATGTTATAAAACCAACCTTTTTAATATAATAAAACTAAGCAACGGAGGCTATAAATTAAGAAACCAACAAATATTTTTTTCAGTTTTATTGTCTGTACATTTATTTCATTTTATACTTTCAGTACATAGACTGACAAAAATATTAGGTTATACTTTTGCTGCTGAGCAACATGACATAAAAGCCATTGTTGGAACGTACTGTTATCAAAACGCACTGGCTTTTCTATAAATTAAAAGTTGTTAATGTAACTTATTTTTACCAATAATTATTTTATGAATACGCCACGAATTCACTTCATGAATAATCTTAATTCTGATTGGCTCACTAACGAATTTACCAACGTTTGACTTCCTCGACTGTACTTTTTCTGCCTCTTTATTGGTCAACCTTGATTTCGCAAAATTTATTTTAGTTAGCTATGAAATGTGAAGTTAGGGTATAGTATGGGGGTTGTAATACTTGCCCCGTCATTTTAGACGGGCTATACGCTAGTTTTATTATAAATATACGTTCCAGATCATTAACGCTACCACTTCACTTCTGAGAACATACACGTGATGTGTATACGATGCAAGACTTCACCACTGAATATTCCCAGAATGCATAAAGATTTAGACATAAAAGTGCTTGCCTGTCTAGCCGCAACAGCAGGTTCTCAGGACTCTGTCAAGCCTCTATCGCCCGAACTAGTCTAAATTATTCAAATATTCTTCGCCAATTTTGATTTACTAAATAAATCGTTACACTTCGTAACAAGAATATATATGCTCAGGGTAATTATAATGAACATTCTGGAAATAATAATATAATTTGACAAGATCTTAATATGCATGAACCTAGTAAATAACATAATCAAAACGTGTTTTTGCCATGTTCAAAATTTGGTTAAAAATCATAAATCTTTTCAAACTGTTATCAAAACCACCTGAAATTTCATTTGTTATTTAAGTAACTGTTCATGTTTAAACTCCGAAATTAGCAATGGTATAGAGTTAATTGATATATCAACTATTTGTTACCAGCAATGTTTATTTTTATTTTCCTGGCGATATTTTCCTTTAAAATAACATTTTAATTTTGGAAAAGAAAAATTATTGCTAACGTTTTTATATCACGAACTTGAGTTAAACCCAGTTTCACGAAAATTAGTTTTTATGTTGTTATTTGTTGCCGTACTATAAAGTGGTATTTACAGCTAATTATATGTATATTTAAATAATAATTTATAGAGGCAGTATCCTTCTGTTGTATCGAAGTTCGAACGTAAATACAAATAAAACCGCGTGATAACAGCCAGGACGATACGAAATAACGGTCGAGAGGGCCATTCTAACCTTTGGACATTTCAATATTTTTTTTATTTGGTGTATAGAGAGAGCCTGTAGGAGATTAATATGTTGAACTTTGAGAACATTACTGGATCCAGAGCATGTAGACTTGTGTGCACAAGGGTAAAAGGTTAGAACTTGTATTAGACAGACCCTGCTCCAGCTTTCCTTAACTGGGGGATGGAGGGATGGCAGTGAGGGACGGCAATAATTTTTGGGGTCAACGACATTTCAGGGGGGCTAGGCCCCCGCTAGCACTAGCCCTGATTATAAAACAAAGTTGTCTACAAAAAACGTGACATAAGAACATAATGTTATTTCTACGCTAAAAACGCAATATACCAAGCAAGGAAAAGTCCGAGAATTAATTTTCAACTTTTTGTTACCGAGCAATCACAACAAACATTATGACTTTATACAGGGACTTCAATGAATTACAAACTCAAAACATTCCACGCTTCTTTTAAGGAGCCTAGTAGTGCTGGACTGACGATCAGAGGGTCCATGGTTCGCGTCCGGTTGCTCTGAACTTTGCCGTGCTGTGGATATGTTACAAGTGTCGATCAAATCCCACTATTCGTTTAAAGTAGCAAGGATCTAATAAAAGTGGATGCTGCCTACCTTCTACTCTATAGTTTAAAATTAGGGACGGCTAATGCAGATCGCCTTTAGGTGGCTATGATTATGAACGAATATTCGAAACAAACTTTCGTAAAATAATATTAGTTTTTGTTTTAATCCTCCAACGGTCAAATTAATGTGATATAATAATATCATGAAAAATGCTAACATGCAAATTTTTATTTCGCGCTAAGAAGTTACTGTGAGGTTTAGTGAAACTGAAAGGTTTAAAACTTTGTACAAAACAAAAAAAAATACAATACATAATATATTAAGTAATTTATAATTACTGGAGGAAAAACAAAATTAAGTCAATGATAAGTATGAAACACTTTCATAGACAAAACCAGTAATTCAGGATGGATGAAATCTTATAACTGGTACTGAAACAACGCTTACCTTCTGATCGCTTTTCTTCCTTCATCAAGGGATGAGAATTGACAATTTTCCAATCTACGTACATTGCTCGTCAGAACGATTGTATTATTATTCTATGTTAGAGCAGCCCCTTCACGTGATACACGAGGAGAGATTACTATCTCCTACCTGATACCGTTGTATCACAACTTGACACAAAGCTGAACCGACTCCAAGACAAACTCACATGTGAATGACCGATATTTAATAGCAAATTCGTTAAGGTTTCTTCCATCAACAAAACTACAAATCAGCGACTGTTACGTTTTAAAGTCACGTGTGAGAGATGAACCCAAGAATCTTTCAAGACTGGGTTTCAAAAACTGATTTTCCTAATTTTCAGTATTAATGGAACGGCGTGCTTGTTGTTCAAACGTTAATTAAATAGAGTACTACGTGAATCGATTTTCTGAAACAAGGCTGTTAAATCTCTGTTGCTATGGGTCTATTTAAGGCCAATGTCAAACAGGGCAAGTCAGAAAAAAGTTTGTATATCTTCTCCTACCGAGTATATCCTAAACTGTGTACCATCGACTAAACCAGCATCCACCACTAGCTGTTCCTTTACCCTTAAGAATAGTAAAAAACAAGTATAAGACACACCTCCTTCCTGACCAATCATTAAAAAGGAGATACCATGGTAACCATGACGTAAGAGGCTTTAGTGGCGCTGCATGTTTACGAGCTAGAGAAATCCAAGGTTGATAGTAAACCTTGGGAGACAACAAACACAGCTGCCGACTAGATAACAGATTTTTCTAGAAAAATTATTATCAATTAGCGCTTTTTCTTAATCTACAGTTTTTACTGAAGAAGTGGAAACAAGTTAATTAAGGCAATGAAGTAAAATACTTTCGAGAAATGATTTAGTAAATTCTGTTACTTTCGGGCGATTTGTTTTTGTAAGAAAATATCACCAGTTTACAGCTAAGTTAACCTGTCATTTTTAGCAAAAGAAGGTTTATATAGATTCAACATTACTAATATTGCATGCTGTCATTTTTAAATAATAACTTCCTAGTGTTTAATATCCAATATAACAAAGTACTAATATGAGGACGGAAAATGGTTAGCCGTAAGGGAACGAAGAATCCAAAAACTATTTAACATAAGTTGTTGTAAGGACGCAATATTAGTGCACACGTCACAAGTAAATGTTAATAGTTGGTTGAAACATGACATTCTTACGACGTGAGAAGGTTGATTATTGTCTCCAACAGCCTTGGAAGTGTTTAATCCTCTGGACGAGAATGTCTTCCTTGGAAGTGTTTAATCCTCTGGACGAGAATGTCTTCCTTGGAAGTGTTTAATCCTCTGGACGAGAATGTCTTTTCTCATCATAACATGAATCAACTGTTAATGTTATCATTATTATATACATCCATATAGCACTCAAGGTGTATCTAACTAGCAATATATCTTTATTTATCTATATCTATCTACCTATACTTATCTTGACTTGTAACCTACATTTTAAATCTACCGACAAAACCACTTGTTTACTATCGAAACATTATTATCTTCACCGCTAGGGCAACTCCCACTGGAAAAGGTGAAAACGTTTCAACTGTTCTACTGTGTTATCAACTACTGCATTCCAAGTATTACTCAAACGTTATGGAAAAAAAGTGCTAGAGTTTTGTTTAATTAATTATTAATGATAGAATATTAAAAAGGTAGAGAGACTATTAGCTCTAAGAACTCCAATAATCTGTTTGAATATTTAATAAAATAGGTCATTTAATTCCTGCGTTACTGTATTATAACTTTAGGACAGGTTCTACATGGTTTGATCAGATTACTTGCTTATCGTTAACTGATGGAAATAATCTAATGTATAATATTGAAAAATAGGACAAGGTTCCACATTTGTTCAGTCACCATAACATTATCAATGTCTTAAAATATGATGATAAAAAGGTACGTGACAAATAACCTCTCAACCGATCATATGTGAGTAAATCCCATATTTTATCAACATTAATTTATCACGTGTAAATCCACAAGTTAATCCAAGAATGAAAGCGGCGACCACTTCAAAAATAAAGACTTTTTAAAGTACAACATACATTCATGAGATGAATGAAAGAAGGTAAACTTTAATCACTTTTGTGGGGAAAAAGTAGTTGTAGTACATCTCAGAAATGATATTAGTTTTAAAATTTCCTCCTTAACAGGTCCACGAAATGTTTCATATAAACATGTAGTAGTACATCTCAGAAATGATATTAGTTTTAGAACTTCCTCCTTAACAGGTCCACGAAATGTTTCATATAAACATGTAGTAGTACATCTCAGAAATGATATTAGTTTTAGAACTTCCTCCTTAACAGGTCCACGAAATGTTTCATATAAACATGTAGTAGTACATCTCAGAAATGATATTAGTTTTAAGCACTTTTCCTTAACAGGCCCATGAAATATTTCACATAAACATGTAGTAGTACATCTCAGAAATGATATTAGTTTTAGAACTTCCTCCTTAACAGGCCCACGAAAGGTTTCATATAAACACGTAGTTGTACATCTCAGAAATGATATTAGTTTTAGAACTTCCTCCTTAACAGGCCCACGAAAGGTTTCATATAAACATGTAGTTGTACATCTCAGAAATGATATTAGTTTTAGAACTTCCTCCTTAACAGGCCCACGAAAGGTTTCATATAAACATGTAGTTGTACATCTCAGAAATGATATTAGTTTT